GCAAACAAACAATAATACAATTGGCAGCAAAATGATTTCTCCCTCCCACCCTCAACATGGAATTTCTGTTATCCCCCAAGACCCTTCACAAAAAACTACCGTGATTTGAGCAGAGAAACTGAAAGCATTCAGTCATAATCCTGTGACAAGTTTATATTTTGATATTTTTCAACCCATAAGGGCTAGACAGAGAGGCTGTATATTGTTGGAAAAAGGAGAGTCTCTGCTTTTCCACAAGGAGAGATCACTCGCTTCTAGAGCTCGGAGATTCCAAGATAACGGAGATTCCAAGATAACAGGCCATTAATATGCAACATAATGATATGTAGAAACAGGAATGCTGGCACAATTTTTATAGTGGGGGAGCTCAGAGCCATTAAACCAAAGTGTAAACCCATTGGCTACGTCTACACTGGCCCCTTTTCCGGAAGGGGCATGTAAATTTCATGAGTCGTCGTAGGGAAATCCGCGGGGGATTTAAATATCCCCCGCGGCATTTAAATAAAAATGTCCGCCGCTTTTTTCCGGCTTTTAAAAAAGCCGGAAAAGAGCGTCTAGACTGGCCCCGATCCTCCGGAAAAAGTGCCCTTTTCCGGAGGGTCTTATTCCTACTTATTAAAAGCCGGAAAAAAGCGGCGGACATTTTTATTTAAATGCCGCGGGGGATATTTAAATCCCCCGCGGATTTCCCTACGACGACTCATGAAATTTACATGCCCCTTCCGGAAAAGGGGCCAGTGTAGACGTAGCCATTGTGTTGGAAAACACTTCAAGCCAAGGAGTGCATGTCCTAGTAGCTCCATCCCCAGCTTGGGGCCCTGACCAGGGCGAAAGAGCCTCCTGCAACACAGCACTGGGAAGCAGGAAGGGGCCTGAGGGGAGACTGGCAGTGGAGGCCCTGCAAGGCTATTTGGGAGACTTACGGGCGTTCCCCTGCCTTTGATATCCACCACCCACAGGTGGACCTATCCATTGATGGAACATATCTATTTCTTTTTTGAACGTAGTTATATTTTTGAACATCACAATGTCCTGGTGAGTTCCACTGAGTGGACTGTGCATTGTGTGAAGAAGAACTTCCTTAAACTGGTTTTGAATCTGCTGCCTAATGATTTAATTGAGTGTGCCCTGGTTCTTCTGGTATGCGAATAACACTTCTTCAGTAAATTTCTCCACATCATTCATGATTTTATAAATCTCTATGTGTATGTCTACACTACCCCCCTAATTCGAACTAAGGGGGTTAATGTAGTCATACGGAGTTGCAAATGAAGCCCGGGATTTGAATTTCCCGGGCTTCATTTGCATAAAGCCGGCCGGTGCCATTTTTAAATGCCGGCTAGTTCAGACCCCGTGCCGCGCGGCTACACGCGGCACGAACTAGCTAGTTCGGATTAGGCTTCCTAATCCGAACTAGGGCCGGCGCCATTTTTAAATGCCGGCTAGTTCAGACTGCATGCCGCGCGGCTACGCGCGGCACGAACTAGCTAGTTCGGATTAGGCTTCCTAATCCGAACTAGCTGTACGCCTCGTGGAAGCCTAATCCGAACTACTTAGTTCGTGCCCCGTGTAGCCGCGTGACACGGGGTCCGAACTAGCCGGCATTTAAAAATGGCGCCGGCCGGCTTTATGCAAATGAAGCCCGGGAAATTCAAATCCCGGGCTTCATCTGCAACTCCGTATGACTACATTACCCCCCCTAGTTCGAACTAGGGGGGTAGTGTAGACATACCCTATCATATTTCCACTTAGCTGACTCTTTTCCAAGCTGAGCAGCCCCAATCTTTTTAATCTCTCCTATAATGGAAGCTGTTCCACGGCCCCTAGTCATTTTTGTTGCTCTTCTCTGGTACTTTTTCCATTCTAATATCTTTTTTTTGAGCTGGAGCAACCAGAAGTGCATGCATTATTCAAAGTGTGGGTGTACCCAAGCCAGCTGATAGGAGGACAAATAGGGCAATTTCCCAGGGGCCTGGGTGATTTAAAAGAGCCCCAGGGTGCCTTAGCTGCTACCTGCAGCAGTGCATCAGGGCTAAGATGGACTCCTTGCCTGCACTCACTCAGTGTCATGTCTGGAAGCGGCTGGCATATTCCTGTGACCCCTGATGGTGGGTGTCTCTGCAACCTGCCTCCACTCTGAGCACCAACTCTGCAGGCCTCATACGCCAGGAGCTTCAGTCAGTGGGAGCTATGGTGCTGGTGCCTGTGGGCATTGACAAGCATCCCCTGACCTCTTCCTAGGAACTCTTGCTGGAGGTGTGTGCTGGTTGCTTTTGGAAGCTGCATGAGTTAAGTGCTGCATCCTTCATCCCCTCCTGCACACTGACCCCTTGCCCTAGTCCAGAGTCCATACCCAAACTCCTCCCACCCTGAGCCTAGCCCTGCAGCCCCTCCCTCATCCAATCTCTTTCTGAGATCCCACACCAAACTCCCTCCCCCAGCCTAGAGCTTGCACCCTGTACCCAAACTCCCTTCCAAACCCTGCCCCCCATGCTCCCTTCTGCATCCAAACTCCCTCCCAGAGCCGGCAACCCATACTCCTTCTTGCACCACAATCTCCTTCCCCAGCCTGGTGAAAGTGAGTGAGAGGGGGAAGAGTGAGCAATGGAGGAAAGGGGGAATGGAATGAATGAGGGATGGAGCCTTAGAGAAGGGCGAGACAGGGATATGGCCTCATGGAAGCGATGGGGAAAGGGTCTTAGGTCTGCAAAATTGCACAGTTGGCAAGCCTACCGGGCAGGCACATGGAAGCAATGCTGTCAGCTCGCTGACCACAAGCTAGCGCAGGCGCAACACCGCCCTAAATGTCAGGTGAACAGTGTCTGCATGGGCATGGCTTGTGTGAGCATGGGGGGCCCATTGACTGTTCTGCCCTGCAGCTCAGAATTGCTGTTGATTGGTCTGGGTCTGCCATGGATTTTTACAGTGGTGTTTATCTATCTATCTATCTATCTATCTATCTATCTATCTATCTATCTATCTATCTATCCTTTTCTTGATGGTTCCTTACATTCTGTTAGCTCTACTGGCTGCTGCTGCAAACTGAGCAGATGTTTTTCAAGAACTATCAATGATGACTTCAAAACTGCTTTCTCAACTTGTAACAGCTCATTTAGATCTCATCATTTTGTATTTATAGTTGGGATTGTGTTTTCTAATGTGCATTTATCAACATTGAATTTCATCTACCATTTTGTTGCCCAGTCACCTTTTTTTTTTCAAGTGTATGTATGGAGCAGGAGTGATTGGGGGAAAGGGAGCAAGGGAGCTGAAGAATGGGTGCATATGGAAAAGGGCCTTCCCACACAGGCATACATGGATGCTTCATAAAGGGGTGTGATTGGGAAGCTTGTGTGTATGTATTTGTGTTCGGGTATGTGAGGACTTCAATGACATATGTGCCTGCATGGAGGTTCTAAAAGTGTGTGTGTGTTGTGGAACATCAAGTATTGGAGTGATGGTGGGGTCTCAATAAAGATTGTTTTAGTAGATCAGGGATCCTCCATGGGTCGGATCTCGCCCACCAAGTGGGTGGATCTGGTATGCAGAAGTCCTGCTGCTGCTCTGCCCTCAAACCAATCAGAGCCTAAGGATGTGGGAGTGTGCCACACTTAGAGTCAACCTTGATGGTTGACTCTAAGTGCTGCGTGCCTGAGGGCAGGGAGTGAGAGTCTTAGCGCTTCCCCTGCCCACAAGCCAATCAGGGCCTGGGGCAGGGAGAAGCGCACGAAGTCTCCTCCCACCCTGCCAGGGGCTTGGCATTTAGAATCAACTGCCAGCTGCTGCTCATCAGGCAGGTGACTTTAAGTATGCGCTCCCTTGCAAGGCTCCCCTGATTGACCTGGGGGCAGGGAGGGGAGCACACAAAGACTTCACACACTCTCCCACCCACAGACCAGTGCTTTTTTTGTTAAAAAAAAAAAAAAAGAAAAAAAAACTCACATGGTGCTGGTACTCCTGGGGAAAAGCTGTTAAGCTCTGACTGGAGGTGCTCGTACTGCGTCTGGAGGGCAGTACCATCACAAAAAAAAGCATTGCCACAGACCAATCAGGGTTTGTAGGCAAAGCTCTGACTGGAGGTGCTCGTACTGCGTCTGGAGGGCAGTACCATCACAAAAAAAAGCATTGCCACAGACCAATCAGGGTTTGTAGGCAAGGAAGCATGGAAGTGTCCTGGCCCCACCTCTTTTGCTTGAGGCCCCTTCTGGGTGGCCCAGGGTCACTTAAAAATTTCTGAAGTGGCCCCCAGTCAAAAATTATTGCCCTGATGTAGATGAAAGGCCTCACAGAGCTTTAACATATATGTAGGCTGCAGGGGTGACTGATGAGGAAGGATACAGTGGGGACACCTTCTCCTTGCACCACCTCTAACCTGGGGAAGGGCTAGGACAACACCCCATTCACCTCAGGCCCTTCCCTTCCCTGTCCCATCCTGTCCCTGCTCTGCTCTACCACCGCCATGCCTCTTTTCCCAAGCCCACTCCCCCAGGTAATGTGGCCTGAGGAACTACCTGGGGTCTGGTGCCAGCAGTAAGGGTTGGGCTCCCCACACTCACTGGCAGTAGTGGGGAGAAGTGGCCCTAGCTTGCTCCCAGCCATATTGCTCTGCTTCTTGCCAGTGAGTGCAGGAGTTGGTTCCTCCCCCTCCCCTGAGCAGGGTTGCCGTGCTTCTCCCTCACTGCCAGTAAGTGCATGGGGGCCCAAACCCTGCTGCAGGGGCCAGGGTCCCCTGTTAGTTCCATTGGTCATCCAGAGGCCCTGGACCCATGTCCCTCCCACCCAGGGTGTTTGGAGAGTCACGTGTCCCTTTCCCTTCATGAGGGACGTGTCCACCTTCCTGATGGGAAGGACTTCAAGTATGGGTGAGTGCTTCTTTCAGGATTCACAGGGCAGGTTGGACATGTGTCTGGAACAGGTAGTTGTATGTATAAGGGTATCTCTTTTGGTGGGCACAGAGATGTGTATGAATGCTTTTGAAGTACTGGCATGTATGTGTGATAATGGTGTCACTGCCAGAGAGTATCACTGAGGTGTACAGTGAGAGTACGTATGTGAATGCGAGACAGATATAGCAAATTCATGCAATATACTTGAAAACTCTCATTGTAATAAATGAAAAGTTTATATATTATTGTGGGCTAGGATTATGACATGTCTAGGGAGGGAGATGTGATGTGAGGGCTGTGAATTCAAAGGACTATACAATTGTGCCACACAAGAATGGATTTTTGGGACAATAAGTGTGACATATCTAGGGAGAGGCTAATTCAAATGTCCTCCTGCTTATACAAATCCCAGTCTTTTGATACTCTATCCTGAGACATTTCAGAGGGGTAGCTGAGTTAGTCTGTAACTGGAAAAACTTAAAAAACAACAAATAGTCTTGCAGCACCTTAAAGACTAACAAAACATGTAGATGGTGGTATGAGTTTTCATGGGCACAACCCACTTCTCCAGACGAATGGAGTTATTAAAGATCCAGTTTTGAAATAAATATGAGATGTGGGGGGGGGGGGAGAGGGAGAAAAGAAAAAAAAAGAAAAAATAGGACTATTTCTTCCCCCTTTTTTCCCTTCTCACCCATCCCCTATTATTTTGAAACTGAAGCTTTCATATCTCCATTCATCTGAAGACAAGAGTTGTGTCCACAAAGCTCATGATACCATCTACATGTTTTGTTAGTCTTTAAGGTGCTGCAAGACTATTGATTGTTTTTTAAGTTTTTCCTGAGAAGGTAATTGTTTTCTGAGTGCCTGTTCCTGGAGGTTGGAGGACAATGGCCTAATCTGCATAAAAAAACAGGCTGATCTGCCCAGTTTCAGTTCTGGATCTGAGACAGGATCTTGGAACCGTAAGGAAAACACAGCTGTGGCTTCATGGCTTTTAATGTGCTCGGTGGTAATTTATACCTATGGGTAATTAAATTATTCATAACATTTGGAGAGAAAGCAACCTGCAGATGCTGCCTTGTTTAGACAGTCTGGCTTGCTGGGAGTATCACACTGAAGGCAGGGAACTGTGTAGTCTAGAAAAATCCTGGTCAGGAGGCGGCAAGATGCAGGTCTCTGTCCAAGACTGAGGTGCCAGCAGCCTAAAGTAAATGTGCTTGGTAGACCATGGAGGGGGAATACAGATGCAGTTGCCTTGGCCTGTGTTAAGACTCTCTGGCACTGAAGTGTTCTCTTTCTACGAGCATAGTGTGTGTGCATGTGGAGGGGAACGAGAGGTTTGGCTCACTGAGAGGCGTATGGGCAGCATCAGTTTCCGCTAAGGTGTGCTCCTGCGCAGCCGTGCACAAAAAATTATTTCCCCGCCCACCCCTTCTGGAGAGCCATGCAGCAGCACTAGCGCAGCAGGCGGTTACTACGATGGGTGGGGCCAGCTGAGATGCCATGGGGAGGAAGTTGCTGGGGCCGGGATCTGCCGTGGCTGCATGGCAGGGGGGAGAGGCCTGCTCCAGTGGAGGGTAGGGTAGACCATGTCACGTAGGGTTGCCAGGTGTCCGGTATTCACCCGGATAGTTCGGTTTTTTTGGCTCCTGTCTGGTAAAAAAATTCAGAGAATACTGGACACCTAAAATGTCTAGTATTTTCTGAATTGTTCCCCAGCCAGGAGGCGAAAATGCTGGGCACCTGGCAACCCTACAAACACTCAGCACTCAGTCTCCCTCTCTGGCTCCCAACATCCCCAGCCCCCCAACCCAGCCCCCATGCTTACCTGGTTCCCCAAGGCTGACAGCCAAAAGACCTAGGGGAAGCAATGCTTTCCCCTCAATCTTAGTGCTCAACTGCTCCCCTGTTCCTATCCCTGAACTTAAAGGGGACATGCTGTTGTAATGCTGTTTTATTGAAAAAAAAATGTTTTTGGCTTAATAAATCCTCGGAGTTCTTTTTCCCAGTGGTTTTTTTGTTGGGGGGGGGGGTGTTCGGTATTTTTGTTTCAACCATCTGGCAACCCTAATGCCGCATAAGAGGGTAGGGGGGACCTGGACCTACCGCATGGCGGGGGTGCATGTGTCTGCTCTGGTGGCCGGAAATGGGATATGCCACATGACCAGGGATAGGGGGTGGGGGAGAGAGAGGTTGCTCCTGCAGCTGAGAACATGTGTGTTAATAACTTGAGTACCAGGGTGGCATGCATCCAAACCAGTGCACATGACCTCCATATTGGCACTCCAGCCAAAACTCACTCTGCTCATGGTTGGAAAATCTTAAGGGGAACGCTGGGCAGCATGTCTCTGAAGGAGAGGCAGTCACTGGGCCTAGTGTATCTGTGGCACTGGCTATCTGGGGACATAGGTCATGGGTGCTTGTGGAAGAAGGGGCGCAGGGAAGGTCACCCTGAGGGGCAGAGAGAGGGCATATGGAAACACCCCATTTTTCAATGTCAATTTTGGCAGGACCACAGGGGGGCAGTGCACCGCCAGAGTCACCTCTATCCGCGGGAGGTGGGGGAGAGACCCGGAGGTGTGTATCACTAGCAGGGTGTGTGCCCGGGGCCGCAGTGGGGTGTGTCCCTGCTGTTTCTGGAACCGCTGCTGCCCTCCCTTCTCTGTGGTGCCGGGTGTCCCGGGCGGGGAGCAGGGGGTGCGCACTGTGTGCGTTCCGGGGGGCAGTGCACCGCCAGAGTCACCTCTATCCGCGGGAGGTGGGGGAGAGACCCGGAGGTGTGTATCACTAGCAGGGTGTGTGCCCGGGGCCGCAGTGGGGTGTGTCCCTGCTGTTTCTGGAACCGCTGCTGCCCTCCCTTCTCTGTGGTGCCGGGTGTCCCGGGCGGGGAGCAGGGGGTGCGCACTGTGTGCGTTCCATTCCCGGGTAGGCTCGGGGCCGCTCTGTGTGTGTGTGTGTGGGGGGG